TACCGTCAGTTTGACGTCAGCGCGCTGAGCGTTTAACTGAAGTTTTGGTGTGTATTATATGGGTCAAAGGATGTAAGAACACACCCTTCGTTTCTGAGACTGTAGTTTTCTCCGTTTGCCATGTTACGGCGAGACGGAGTATTCTTATAATCGAACGGACGTCGAAGTACTAAAAGAGAAAAAATGGTTGAAGACAACACACGAAGGTCACAGATACGCCATCTTTATTTACACATTACACAGCAACGCGCTGGAGACTATATGTACACGCGGCAGACTTACAAACGAACAAATGGGAACACCATATACGATAAAAACCGGCACGCACTTCCCACAATCAAATAACACCACTAGAAGCGTCCGACAGCCCGTCACAACGGCAACATTCATGATGTTCCCTCCTACACTCGTGACACATACGAAAATCACTGGATTTCCTACGCTACCATCACTGGCGCCATGTTATTTCTTACGGCCCGTGTTGCCAGCTGTCGCCTTCGTTTGCCAGCGTCCTAACGGTAACTGAACGCGTCTGTCCCCCCATTCTTTAAGACAGTCCGCAACAGAGTAAAACGACTTGGTGAGAGCTTCCATGCACCGGAGCTCCAGCTCAATGAGTGACATTTTAGAACGGCGTCTCCTGCCAAAATTGCCAACGAAGCTCTTCGCGACAAAAAAGCGTTGCCATGGACCAACTAGCGCGCAATAAAAACGTCACGTGATGGGAACAGCCCAATGAGCTCCGTGGCTGAGTTTAACAATAAAGAAAATGGGCGTCCACATTCAAAGCCCCGGTACCCTAGTGATATTCACAAGGAATGTACACCTCAGGTGACTCATAATTTAAGCGAGAAAGCAGCTTCCCTATGTGAATAATCCGAGGATAAATTTAGTTGTTATTTTAATATGAGCAGATGTAACTTCTTACGCTTCGCCTGAATGAAAACTACGTTTACAAATTTTTATTTCTTAAATTTAGCGCATTCGAACGCAAAATCTAAAATCTAAAATTCGGCTGCATATGAAAAAAAAATCATTATAAAAACCTTCACCCTTTTCAAGTTGAAGGGTAAAAAGAATTCGTACAACAAACTTATACAGCATTGCTTTTAAGTTTTATTAAGTGAACGTGATCCCTCAAATGTATTACGAAAAAAATTTCCGGCTTAACAGCTTGAGACGAAGGTTACCTGAAGGTGTATAAACAAAAGTTCTTTTAGGACACCCTACACAAATTTGAGAAAATGTACGAGGCAGAACATTCAGTCTGCATTTCAGGATGGTCTTTGAACGCGAATATATTTTTCTGATAGCTAGTACGAATAATAGAAATGATTTGCATTCGAATTGTGCGCGGCAATACGACGACAGTTGAGTAGGCAACGCGTTGTACATCCGTAATCATTGCCGACTATCGCTTGATATTTCCGAAGAATTCCGCTTCCTGAGAAGAGACGTTGTATAAAATGATGCTATATCACGGGATTGCCTAACAAAGCCGAGCTGTAAACTCCCGGTCTTTCTAAAACAATGACACGTAAACCTTTGGTGGGATATATTGAACATGTTCTTTCACTTATCTAACACAAAAAAACACCCATCGAGATAATTTTACAGAAAGTGTCAGATTTCAGTAGACAACGCAAGAGTAATTAAAAATAAAAAAAGTAAAATTAATGTTTTGACCATATAATGCTAGTGAAACTCTCAAGCACGGGACACAATAAAAGTTGATTTCATTCATTCAATATTACATTCTAATTCGCTCTAGGTGAACGACACAATAACACAGTCAAAAAATGCATTTAAAAATGTACATGAGACACAATACATCGGCTTACATAAACGTTACCAAACATACATGTCCATCTGCTGCTTAAAAGTGTACCCAGAGATGGATACGATAATTTTAAGCTTACTTTTTAACTTTGCAGTTTTCGTTTACATTTCTTGTTCGCTTTGAGATAAAAAAACAACAACAGCATGATATTAATTAGTATGTGAGCTAAGAAGTAACAACGTATTTTCTTTTCATTTACAGTAAAAAGATCAGTATGAGGCTGCGTTATTGCTTTGTTAGTTCGGCAAATATAATTCAAAAGCAATAAAATACACTGGCCCAACAATATTCAATAGGAATCACACCACACGTTAAAGTCAGCAGCGATATAAATGGGCTAGCCTTTCTGGTATTAAAATTGCTGCAGATTAAAAGACAAAAAAAAAAAAAAGAAGAAACGATTGATCCACTTCAAGACAAAAAATGTTGGATTTAATTTTTAAATTTTAAATTCTCGACTACAATCATTAAGTGCCTTTTTAGTGCAGTACCTTCATTGTTTGAAAGCGGTAAATGAGTAACAGTTTATGTAATTTGGCTGAGAAGTACGTTTCAAAATTGGTAATCAGAAAACAACTTCTAGCATTCTGTTGCTGTTTATGACTGTTGTTGGTGGCATTATGAGATTTAACTGCTATGTACAGAGTACTTCCTTACCACCTTGGCAGTTCGTTACGGTGAGTGATGCAATCACCTTATTTCTGCTCGGAATTTTTTGGAACAATGAACTTAATTTAATATTGAATGCCAAATTGACTTAAATAAATTGGAAAATTATTTCACAGCGATTACTTTCGCGCAAGTTATATAGGTCTCGTCACAATATGAACTCACTTTAAGCGTGCCAGTTTTAGCTTTGTCGAATGTTTTCATCCTGATAAAGGTGTTACAGTAAACATTTGTATTTTTGACATGTCTTGGTGGTCGAGTTGTTAATTTCTGACCTTCAGTTTATCAAAAACCACTGACCAGCGTGTTACCGCAACTTTTATGTTGTAGATCGTGATAATTTTTTTCTTACAAGTGGTTTCGGTGGACAAGCGCGGAATGCGCCCTGCATTTTATTGATAGTTTGTTCTACACTAATTTTGACCTAGAAATGTTCATAAGTATTTTTAACTAGGAGAATTTATACCTGTATATCTATCACCTCATTTCTGCTTGTTTGATTTTTATTCATGATAATGTTTAGAACGGATTGTTCACACCTGTGTATAACTCTGCAATAGACCAGACCAAACAATTTCTCTTTAATTTCCCGGCATCACGACCCAAATGTTCATTTTCTAAAACTTTGCAACGAAGCTGACACTATTGTTGCCAAACCAACTATTTGAAATAAAATACTTGACCACAGAACATCGTACTCTACTTTCTGCTTCTTTGTCGGTGCTTTGCAGTCATTTTCGAACCCGCCAAAGAACACACTGAAGACCACCGCTCGCGGATAATCGAAATCACATCACGACGTCGATTCCGTCCGGCCTAGGTCTTACTCGTCTTTTCTTTGAAAGTGGGGATATAGTGTAAGTAACTACATGCTTCACGACAGCTGTCGCATCGCCGTGGAAGGCGTCCACTATAGACACTGTATACATCGATAAAAGTACCTCGTTCTATTCTCTATTTGTGCTTTTCACCTTGATATTGGGTGTTTCTGCCGGCTGCGGGCTTGTGCCATATGGTTCACCTTCTTTCCAGTTCGATCAATAGCATTGGCTGACCGGCTGCGCCCACAGAATCATCAGTGCGACAGAACTGAAAATTCTGGTAACGATTCCCGAAAACTCTCCGGTTTTTCGCACATCCCTTCTTTTCTACTTACAGCGCGGACTGCTCGTATGTTCTTTTTTTACCGATAAAGGGTGTTGCAATTGACTTCATCCTTGTAAAGTTGACGAAATTCATAAAATAGCAAAGAGAAAGTTATAAATAAAAAAAAATCAGTACTATATTTGCGCATTTTTATCAACGGTGGAAACTTTCTGACTCGAACACTCCTGCTGCGGACTTTAGCTTAATATGTTCATGATTTGAAATCACACAAACAAATGGAGTTTTTCAAATTAATCCGTACCGACTAGCTCAATCTTCAAAATATACGGAAGTTTGGGTTATAGAAATGCATGAATGTATGACTCATGCCCTGTTCTTTGAGTATTTGAAAAAAGAGATATGTACGCCGTGAAATCATTAAAGCATCATTTTGCATGTATATCTCAGAGTGAAATGTACGTTCTACGAGCAAACGGGTTGATATATACTGTTTTGAACCGAAAGCAGCCGGAGCTGAGCTACCTGCATTACTATAACTGTTTACTGGGAATTTTCCTTTTCAACTAAAGAGGATTTTAAGTAGAAAACCCTTGTCTTGAGTGTTCGTTGTTTGTATCAATTTCGTGCTGCCCTCATTATGAATCCATACCAAATCTACGTTACAATTTGCTTCGTTCCTAGAATCATTCCCACCGTCATGTTGCATACTTAAGGCGTAGTATGCTCTCTACGATTTTAGTTTTTCAAACCTTGCTTAAAAAGAGCCTTCGTAATGTTAGCTTTTTTTGTCCTCTTTTGCTCCAATACGTTTTGTTCGAGCCTTGTAGAACGATTAATAATCTAATTTGTCATACTCCTTTTGCTAGAGATGACCAATACTGCTTAATTTTATGATAATTCTTCCTCAGCGGAACATGAAACCAGTGGTGTGGATTATTGGACTAAAATATTACCAAAGATGCATGTTTTGTTTTACTCTGTCAAAACTTAAGTAAGCACGCCAGGCACGTAGCCAGGGTGGTGGCCCTTCTATTTTGCTAGGACCTCCTCTCCCTCTCCCCCTCATACAGCATTTTGTCAGCCCCCCCCCCCCCCCCCCCCCCCCGAAACAAAATCCTGGCTACGTGCCTGAAGCACGCAGACAGATTTCAGGTGGCCATCGTTCAGACGACGATATATAAAACACACGAAAACGTAGTGTTAGCGGATTTCACGATGTGGGAACTCTCAGCGACTGGCAAGTTACACCCTAAAGCGGTTATTGTAACACACTTTTTTTAGGCTTACGGCAGCTCTTTTTTATGTGTTGATATTTCTGGGCAGGCTAGTTCAGTTAACAACGAGGGAATCTGATGGCGTTTCTGGACGAGTCATCTCGTTTCTCTCAGAAGGACATTCCATCCCGGAGCAGGGCGACCTTTTCACGGCCCCTCTGGACACACTTGCCCCACCAGGAGCGTCGGTGGCACACGTCCTGCTTTTTGAAGGTGAAGCACTTGGTCTGCACGATGTTGAAGTACAGCTTGCCCACCATGTGCGAGGCCGCGTTGTTGCCCATCTTCAGGCAGGACCGAAACCTGGATGCAGAGCAGAAAAAGAAACATTGCTCGAGAACCATGGTTTGAGAAACATTGCTTGAGAAACATTAGAGGTAGAAAAGGGGGAAATGGGAGGGGTCAAGCGAACTGGTTGATGCTCAATGTGCGCATATAGCTAAAATAAATCCTGGAGGTACCATGTGCCAAAATCAAATATTATTTGACATTGGAAGTTATTTCTTGAGTTTTATGAACTCTTCGCGATTTCTTTTTTATGGTAATTGTTTAAGAATGGTAAGCATGACCACAATTGCGTAACTAAGAATTAGTTATTGCCATGACTGCTTTTTTCAAATTTTTGAATATCGTAGAAAAATGTTTTATTACTGCTACTTGTAGTTTTGTTGCTATATTGAGCAGCGTGGAACATCAGTAATTTATTCGAAGTGAATAGCCATAAATTACGAATAATTAACTTATTATGATTCTGATAAAATTCTAAGCTTAAATCTTCTCAAAGTTCTAAGGAACATTTTTTGGTGCTGATATTCTGAGTTAAGTCAATGTCACAAATATGATTTTCCCTCTTAAACTTTCAGTCGCGATGCCCATATTTGACTTTTTAAGTTTTGCTTCACTGTGGTTAGAATATAAGCCGTGATATGACCGATATGTTTCTATGCTTTCTCGTTTAGCATAAAGATACACGAAACACACTTACAAGCGACTGTTGCTTGATTTTTCGTCCAAATACTCTTTATGTTTCTATCAAGCATAGCGCTTCAATTTCGGCTAATCTCGTCGAAGCAAGTAGGTAGAAATAGATAGGAACCAAAACGTCGACCGGTACTAGGAGGATTTCAGAAGGTTACTTTTCATGTTTTTCGCACAAGCTTACGTAGCCATAGTAAGTTGTCCACAAATATTAAATTCTAATAGCGATAATATAACGGACTAAAAAGGTGCGCGTGTCAGCGAAACGTTGACTGCTATTGTAGGACTTCCATTAATTTTATTTTCGACTTTATAAGGATCTCCCAAATTTATATTCCCGTTTATTGCCGCGGTTCCAAAAACCAGCCGTTTTATAAAGATGGCCTCTACAATTCAGCATGCATAGTACCCTCGTATAAAAGCACAAAATTACACATTTAGTTCAAAAGAGATATATTAATTAACGCATTGGATAGGATAGGCGAAATGTGAACGTTGTTTTTATTGTCGAAGTAATGATCACGTGACGCCTGCATCGTCAAATGGCGAGGCCGTTCTTCGCAGGTGCCCTCATAAATAGCAGGCGAGTTTCTGGCCTCGCAGTCTGCTTCAATGTTTTGGCGTCTGCTCGGACAGTTCTGGTGCCCGACCGAGGGTCTGGCCGCATATTAAGAGTCCCTCCTCATCGGTCTGGAATGACTTTTAGGTTATTTTCGTTGCCTCTCGTATATATTATTGCCTTCTCGTTGCTGGATTGAGAAAGGAGGTGAAGTGTTCCCAACAATCGTTGAGTTCGGCAGACGGCTGAGTCGATAACGAGCCCGCACTCGCGTGTTCTTGTAGAAGAAATGTCTGCTTCTGACAGGTTAGTATTGACTAAACCCGTTCTCTTTAGACGGCTCGGGCGGGCTCTCTGGGCCTGTGCCCAGAACATCGAGTGCAAAAGTCGGGGAAAACGGACACGAAAGGCCGGAATAGTGCTGGAGACTGCCTCTTGGCGATAATATATCCTTTTAGGTTGAGCTATTATGTACCAGAGAACGTGTAATTTGGAACAAACATGTTTAGGCGCAACAATTGTGGCTCATGAAGTTGATGTCGATTTCTTTATTTTAAAATGAAGAAAACTGTTCGTAACATGTTTATTCGGATAGCTCTTCTATGAAGCTCCTGGGTATGATCCCACAAGACTGGGCTACGAAAGTGATACAATGTTATGTTATTGTTAGGCTGCCTGTGTTTTAGTATACTTTCGGGAATCATGGCTAGGGGCTAGGGCAGGAGAACAAACAACATGCTTGAATAAAGGCTAACAGGTTACACACAAGCACTGAAGCACTTTGAATTTCGACTTTGGTATATTGATCCTGCCAACAGCCAATCGTGTTCGGGCTTGGGTCGAACTAGTAAAGCAATCTGCGAAAGCCGATTATGGTAAAAATAATTCCAAAATATAATATTGCGACTAAACTATGGTGCCTAAACAAAAAAAGACAAAACAACTTGCTATTTTAATAAAACGTGGTCTTCTCCAGGATTAAAGCAACCGTCAATGTTTTAGAGCGCAGCTCTTAGGGGCCCGTTTCCGGCTTGAGCGGCGTCGCCGTCGGCGTCGGCGTCGCCGTCGGCGTCGCCGTCGCCGTCGGCGTCGGCGTCGGCGTCGGCGTAACCGCGCGGTGCATCATGGGAAATGTCCCATAATGCACCGCGCGAGCCCCCCACCGGGGTCACGTGACCTCGTGGGGGGCACGTGACCCCCCCGGGGTCACGTGACCCCGGTGCATCATGGGAAATGTCCCATAATGCACCGCGCGAGCCCCCCACCGGGGTCACGTGACCTCGTGGGGGGCACGTGACCCCCCGAGGTCACGTGACCTCCCGAAGTCACGTGACTCCCCTGAGGTCACGTGACCCCCTCCTCGAGGTCACGTGACCCCCCGAGGTCACGTGACCCCCGCCGATGTCGCGTGACCCCCCGATGACGTCATCCTCACTGATGACGTCACCGGCATCCACATCGTCATCGTCATCATCACTGATGACGTCACCGGCATCCACATCGTCATCGTCATCATCACTGATGACGTCACCGGCATCCACATCGTCATCGTCATCATCACTGATGACGTCACCGGCATCCACATCGTCATCGTCATCATCACTGATGACGTCACCGGTATCCGCATCGTCATCGTCATCATCGCTGATGACGTCACCGGCATCCACATCGTCATCGTCATCATCACTGATGACGTCACCGGCATCCACATCATCATCGTCATCATCACTGATGACGTCACCGGCATCCACATCGTCATCGTCATCATCACTGATGACGTCACCGGCATCCACATCGTCATCATCACTGATGACGTCACCGGCATCCACATCGTCATCATCACTGATGACGTCACCGGCATCCGCATCGTCATCGTCATCATCACTGATGACGTCACCGGCATCCACATCGTCATCGTCATCATCACTGATGACGTCACCGGCATCCACATCGTCATCATCATTGATGACGTCACCGGCATCCGCATCGTCATCGTCATCATCACTGATGACGTTACCGACATCCGCATCGTCATCGTCATCATCACTGATGACATCATCAGTGACGTCACTGATGTCGTCACCGGCATCCGCATCGTCATCATCACTCATCACTCGCTGATGACGTCATCATCACTGATGACGTCATCAGCGACGTCACTGATGACGTCACCGACATTCGCATCGTCATCGTCATCATCACTGGTGAAGTCATCAGTGACGTCACTAATGACGTCATCGGTACCCGCATCGTCATTGTCAGTGATGACGTCATCAGTGACGTCAGTGATGACATCATCGGCACTGGGGGTCACGTGACCCCCAAGGTCACGTGACCCCCCACTGGTTAGTTTAACCCCCCCCCAGTGCCCTTCCCTCCTCCTCCTCAAGAGCTGCGCTCTAATTCGGTGTTACAGGGAGTTGTAAGCGGCTTCCATTTTTTTCTCTGCTTGGTTGTTTTGCTTAGTTGAATATTTGTATGATCCTGGCATTCGTAATAATTTGTCGATGCTGGTTGTTGAGCAAATTTGTAATGTTTTTTTTAATGTTTTACCTAATTTACGGAACTTCTTTTGATCAAATGGTACTTGGATGCTTGCTTCTTTACATGTAACTCCAGTATAAGTACTTAAAAGAAAACCAAAAGCGACCCGAAGTGTTTTAAACATATGAGATGTGTTTGGAGATTAATGTATACAACGAAAATTATCGCAATATTTTTTGAAAATTACTTTTATCATCGGTGGAACAGTCATAATTTTGTTTTTATTCTAACGTCTGTACGGCGCCTTTGAACAACACCACCTGGACAGAAGGCCTCCACACGCGTCATCATAGTCAGATCGATCGAGGCGAGAGATTGGGCACGAGTGCTGCGTCAGTGTTCGGCTGCGGCTCGTGGCCAATCAGCGCGTCGAAGGTCGGGCTCGGGTCCAATAGCCGACCGAGCGCGATCCGACTGTGACGACGTTTCATAAAGGAAGAAGAAACCATGCGGAGGCCTTCTGTCTAGGTGGTGTTGCTTTGAATGAAATCTGCCGACGTAGTCTATGTGCTGTTTGCCCAATGCATGATAGAATATGCAAAATCGTCTTTCATCTTAACTATTTTTTTAAATCAATTTTTCCGACTACCATATGTCCTGAGTGTTACTTCGTTGCTCCTTTTTGTATAATGAATTGATATTAAATATTCAAGTTGTTTAACTCAAACCTGTGCCTATCTTAAATGCTCTCCTCGAGATACTGTATTTAGAATATCTTGGTAGTACAGTGAAACCCGTTTAGAATGAACTCACGTACAGCCAATATTTGTCAATATCTTACTTACAAAAATTTAAATAAAAATGCATGTAAAGAGTACTTTGTATATAACAAACAACCTATTGGCTATGTCGAACTCTTTCCCCCCGGGGTAGGCTTCCAAAAACGCGAAAATATTCGTCTTCTAGCCTTTTTCTTTCACCAAAAAAGTAGGAAAGAGAGAAAATTCCAAAGGCTCACGTTGCGAACAAAATTGAGCGAAGAGAAGCGAATCAGAAGGGGGAGAAAGCTAAACAATACTCTGTGCACGCACGCACAGCAAAAAACAACAAAAATACTTTTCATCCCAAAATCGTAGTCCACGAAAAGAAGAAATTCAGAAGGGGAGATAAGCTAAAAACACAAACTCTGCACGTATGCAAAAAAAAAAACAAAAAAACTTTTTAGCTCGTTGTTACAAGGCGGGAGCGAGGAGATAAGAAAGAAAAATAAGTTCTCGCCTTA